CCTTTTAATATCTTTTTCCATAGAATTAAGATTACTTTTTTTTTAACTTTCCTGTATGTATGTAAACTTGAGAATCAAAGTGAGTGGTGGCAAGAAGCGGAAGAAAAAACTACTTTGTACAGCACAAATAAGTTGCAGAATATTCTGTAAACACTTTCTGCCAGACTTGGGCATTAATTATTACTTTCTTTGTCTTAGCCTGCCACCGATTTTAATGTAATAATAGACTTCTGTTTTTACAAAGGACACAATTTTAATCAATGAATTTGCTCAAATCCTAGTAAGCCACCAACTCCTTCACAGGGCGGTATGTACGTAGAATTGTATTGTACAAATCTTTTTTAAGATAAAGCATGTGTAGGCTTCTGTGAAAATGTTGTCTAAAACCTAAGTGTTTGGATTTAACTTCATAATGAATTGTCTTTTGGTCCTAATAAAATTTTAGATTTATAATCCTGACCTTTCTTTTTCTTTTCCCTCTAGACAAGGTCTTTGCAAATATTACATAATGGGACATGAATCTAGAATTTAGGGAAAAATTCATAGGTTTAAATTTGTTCACAGCATTGTACAGCAGGGTGTCAAACTTAATATCATTGAGGGCTGAATCAGCATTATGGTTGCCTTCAAAGGGCCAGTTGCTGTCCCCTTCTCTTCCTTAGGCTGTCCCCACTGACATCTCCCTATCGCCATCTCTCCCCCTCACTACTACTTCGTCCTCCCTCATGTGTTCACTCACTGCCCAGCTCACCTTTTCATGCAGTGCTCATCAGCTGGAGCTGCGTGGGCTGATCCTGGGGTCCCCAACAGCTCTGCAGCTCCAGCTGACTCTTCCCCGAAGACTGCATGTGGCAGCTGGCCACCCCTGAGGCCGCAGGAAGCCCCAGTTAGCTGGAGCCACGTGCAGATCCCAAGGCCTCAGCAGAGCCCCCAGCAACACCACAGCTCCAGCTGACTCTCCCCCAGGCTTCTCTGGCATTACCCCCGTTTCAGCTCACCCACCCACCCCCACATACTCAATTGCCGCCTCCTGCTAGTCTGCTTGAGGGCCAGATCTAAACACATCACCGGCCGGATCTGACCTGGGGGCCTTTTGTTTGACATGTCAGTTGTACAGTATACATCACGTAGAGAATTATATCCTGAGGTCCTGCTAGTAAGATATGGAGTGACAAAATAACCTGTTTAGCATACTACAAATGGCACTTTATAGAAGAGACGCCCAAAACATCTTAAAGCTAAGTAATTCCACACACTTCTCCTCCTCCTAGTTAGTTAAGTAGTAACTATATTACTCATGTATAACGTGTGAGTTTGTTGTAATGTCTTTGATTTTTTAATTTTAATTAATTTACTTTTTTATTAATTTGTTATTTTTTATTTTAATTACTAGCTTCTGCACTCTCTTTGGAGAAAACTAAGAACAACCTATTACACACTGCTTAATATGCTACTTATAACTACCACCATCACCCCATGACCTGGAAAGCTAGTAAGCAAGCAAGGAAAAGTCAATCTTAAAGTTTTAGTAAGATTTCTTTTTATATCTTTTTTTTTCTTAAATGGAAGTGCAGGAAACAGTCTGCCCAAGTCATGGGGGAAGGACAAATTTACACATTGCAAATTTGTATCCAAAGCACATCTATGTTAGCTCATCTTGCTGTCATGCAACAAATTGAACAAGGGAACAAGAATGTTAATATTGGAACAGTTCTTCATGCCTAGTGAATTGGTTCTATAAGTAGCATGAACATTAATGGAATTAAATGGAGAGAATATTATACCTGTAAAGTATGATAAGACACAGGAACATCAGACTTTTCCAGGACCTAGCCTAGGGTAATTGCATTAGGATCCAGCAAATCTATGCTAAAATATTTTTAATGTTTGTTTTTCTATTAAATAGAGTGCCTGATAACATGCTAGTGAGGATACAAACTGAATTGAAAATGTGGATGACCCCAGCTAAGAAAATCAAAATGGAAGTTGTGATCTAGATGTCTACAGGATATGCTGTTAAATTTGAGAAGAAAGTAATGTACATGCAGCATATCCCTGGATACAGTATTCCAGGAACAATACTAGCTTTTTTAAAAGTGCAAAACAAAGTTACGAGTCCAGAATGGAGATCTTTGCCATATGTGGGCTACTTTTACAATAAATTTTACTTTGAACAAATTCTGAAACTGGCTTGTTCTAATTGTGCCATAAACATTTTGTGATAGTTCTTTTAAACAATCCAAGAGATGACATCCTCTTACATCCTCTTGGCTAGCTCAGATTTTTTAGAGTACCATATTATAATTCATTAATTTTTTTAAAACAAAATTCACATGGAAATAAATCCACCAGATCAGTGGTTCTCAACCTGTGATCCGCAGACCCCTGGGGACTGGGGCAGGTGCAATGTCATCACGGGTTTGCAATTTGTTATGATTTAAATTTTGAATTAAGTCTTGGAGGTCTCTGGTCATGGTCTGGCCACAAAAGGTATTTAAAGGGGGTCCACGGTGAAGAAAAGATTGAGAACTACTGCACTAGATGAAACTTTCCAGAGAAGAGGTCTGAATACTTTACTGAAAAATCCATTTCTCCCAATACACATTGCTGTAGCCCACAGCACTATGGTAGGTATTTTCAAATAGATTATTCTTTTCTTGTATCTCCATATCATAATTAGAAGCAATGTTACATTATACCAGGTGATTGAAAGTCTGAGCTTCAATTCTATAGTAATTAAGTGTAAGGCAGTTACTAATTCTATGTGCAGCGTATTAATTACCGCAATAGGATTCTTTTGGTTACCAAAACCACCATTCCTCCAATCTACCACTGATTATCCAGATACTATTCCATATAATTTCAGCAATCGGGGGAATTAAGTACAATATTACCTAACAATATTACTAGTTACTACACAAATAGTTTCTTTAATGAATGCTACCTTATGACAGTGCATTGTTCTATCTCATAACATTTGACATATCATAACCTGTTTGTCTAATGCAGGGGTGTCAAACTCGCAACGTCACGTGACGTGTTGCGACGTATCGTGACTTTTTTCATTGCCGGCAATGGGGTGGGCGCGGTTTCGCCATGACGCATCTGGCCCACGGGCTGGCAGTTTGACACCCCTGGTCTAATGTTTAAACTCAAGTGTATGACGCCTCTGCTAAATTCCCTTTATATCATCGTTTGCAGGAAGTTTTTCAGTCAGTTGATCCAGCTAAACTTGCTTCTTTCTATAAATATGAGAAAGTACTACACACAGTTTTACAGAATTTGTTAAAGGAAAATATCCGAAATCAATTTGTAAAGATATGTAACTATATATACTTACAAGAAGCTAAACATCAGATTCTTCATCTTTAATGGCCTTTAAGGTATACAAGATTAGTTTCAAAAAGGAAAGTTTTTAATAATTACACTGATGCACTCTACTATTATCACAGCTAATAGCCATCTGTGCATTCATTGTGACAATGTAATTTAAGACAGCAGTTTCAACAGCCTACAAAAGAGTAATCAGCATTGCTGTAAATATATAGTGGATTTAGTCCTGGATAAAGAAGACACAAAACCAATGTTTAAATAGTGAATAAGCCATTTTATTTTTGTCCTGTGCTCACACTCTCCTCACTTTCCCAATAGCTCATAGAAACCATTCAGAATAAAACCTCAGAAATAAATTAACACATGCACACAACAGGGCTCCATCCTTCCCATCCAACAGCTCCAACACATTTTGTGCTTCAAATTTCATGCTCTTAATTCCAAAAGCATGAGAAATGGAGAAGGCTTCATACGTATACTTCTTATCCACTCTCATATTTTTTCTGGAAAAGGTCTTGGCCTGAAAAAAAACCCTAATATGTTTGCAAACATTGCTTTATACCACTTAAACAATGCATCCCATCTCTACAATCCTCAGGAGGATGCCCATTTCAGTGTTATGCCCTCACATATCATCACATACACAGGACTGAGTGGCTGGAAAAAAACCAAAGCCATTTAGCTCTACAGTTGCTGGTCAAGTCAGTAATACTTCCAGCTGTGCTATACTGCAAGTTAACAGCTTCGGGGATGGCCTCAGAACTTGAGGCTAGCTGTGTTCAAGGCACTACCCTCACCCTTCGCCTTATTATTATTTTTTTCAATGGAGGAAGGGGGAAGTTGGAATGACATCCAAGGACAGAAGGGAAGCCAGCTGTGGAATCATCATTAACACATTTTGAGTCTTTATGGCAGAAAAAAACTTTCAGTAGCTTTGATCTTCAGGGGAAGTACTACCCTTCTATCCTACATGCATACTCTTAAGTTCATTCTATAGCCCTACAGGGGAGAGGAAACAATATAGGAACACAGAGTTCTAAAACCGTAATAAATTAAAATCAAAGTGTCCGTTCAAAAAGAGGCTTGCTGTAGATGGCTTTTAACACAGCATGCCCACTTAATAGAAGCAAAACCCGCTGTGATGTAGACCAAATAGTGATGGTCACACACCTTGCAGACTCTAGTCAATGAAGATCTATACCTTTGGCCCTACACTTCCTTTCACCCAAAGCAGTCTCTCTAAGCCAATCAATGGGAAAAGACAGCTTTATAGCATGCAATTTTACCATGCACCATCATGTTGTAATACATCTTGATAGTGGCCCAGAATTAATGCTGGCTCCTCACTGGGGCAGGTAAAATCTTTAACAAAGTATTCAATTGGTGAGGGATGATAAAGATGCATTTCTATAGTAATCCTATTAACTCTTTCCACTCCTACTCTGCCAAATATTTGTGGTAATTGTTGAAGTACAAAATGGTAGTACATATAAATTCCTTGAATGGGAAATTCTTACTTTTAGCTTGAGGGAAATGTTTCTCTTGCTCTAGTACAATTTTCTGTGCTCCTTCTTTAGTTAAGTACATAAAAATTTATGAAGAAATCATGGCTAAGTATTCAAATTTAGGCATGGTTTTGAACTGCATATAATTGACGTCAAATTAGTTTTAAAAAATCCAACCAGCTACCTGAAGTATCCAAGACTGGGAATTCAAAGGAAAAAAAATACTCTTAGGTCTTCTCAATCTATTCATTTAACTTTTCTTCCTTTACAAAAAGCCAGCCTTATTCAATTTTTTTTATCCTCTGCTGATATTTCCCCCCTCCCCCCTGCAAACACACATTATGCCAGCTAATTCACACTCTCATAATGTTCAATTGGTTTGAGGCTTCTGGAAGCACAGGTCTTTCCCAACATGCTTTGCCATTCCGCCTCTCAAGACTTGTAGGCCCCCTGCCTAGCAGTATGCTCCTATACACTGGCTGGCAGCTATCATGGTTTGAGAAGATATATTGGATAAGAAGGCATGAAAGTTCCTCCAAATTCTTCTGGGCTCAGCCCTTCTCGAAGTTGCAGATTCAGCAAGTTTTATGCTTTCCAAATGATATTCATCATCTTTCACTTCCTCCTATCTTTCTGTTTCCTTTCTTGACGCCGTCCCTGCTGGTCAGCCAAGGAACGTGGTATTAGAATAACACTGCCATTACTGGCATGTTGTAGAGCATACTGATTTGGGGAATAGGGCTGGCCATTTTCATCACGCAGACGGCCGAATACCTCCTGGTAGAGGGTCTGCATCTTTTGCTTCATTTGGCGGATGGACCTGAGGAATTCCACCTTCTCCCTGAGCAGCTTTGATTTGTCTCTCTGCAAATCATCTACATCCCGCTCCAGATTGAGGATAGTGTCCAGTTTTCTTTTACGACAATTCTGGGCTGCCATCTTATTCTTGCCCCTTCTGCGAATGTCACGGATTAGACTAAGCTGTGCTTCACTCAACTGATACTTGGACAGGAGTTCATTGAATTCCTCTACTGGCAAATTGATGATCTTTTCATTGGGAAAAGGAATCTTCATGGCTCTGGCTCTATGTTCATCTCTACTCATCTGCTTATCTAGAAAATCTTCTTGCTTCTCTTTGGAACTCTTCTTTCCCACACTAGCTGGCTGGGACTCATCAGTGTCTAAGGTCCTGGGGGCCATGTTATATGTGTGATTGTGACCCACATGCTCAAGATAAGGCAGGTACTGCAACTGAGGAGGATTCTGGTAGCTCATCCGACAGAACTTGCTGTATTCTGGCTGATACCCAACAGCTCCTTCCACATCTTCAAAGTCCACATTTTCGGTATCAGAATTGTAGCCCACAGCTCCTTCCTCAGAAAAGGAGGAAGAGGTCGAAGAGGATGATGATGCTTCTGAGCTGCTGAGAGAAGCAGGGCTGTGACTTGAGTCCAGGGAGAGCCCTGAGTCTGAATCAAATTCCTCTTCCAAGCGGGATGCCTGCACTGGGTTGAAGCCTTCTTCAATAGCCAAATCCATTAAACTAATCTCATCCAACATGGCTTCATCCAGAAGCCCTCCAAGAGGGTCTGGGAGTTCAGGCCCAGATGTTTCATTTGTAGTACTGTTTAGCTGGGGAGGGAAAAAAATTCCACTTAGGTTGGTAGAGCCAAATGTGGTATTGAAGCCAGTGGAGTTATCAGGAACCAGCTGCAGCAAAGCTGAGCCCCCAACCACTGAAGGACTTTCAATTTCAGAGCTGAACAGAGAAGGAAAATCTTGTGTGCAGCCAGCTAGCGATGCCTGATGCAGGCTGACATTCTGGTTAATAGGGGTAGATGGAGCAAGGCTATAGTTGGCTGTCAGAAGATCTCCACTTGGATTGTTGTATAAAGTTTCTACAGCTGTAGTGCTATTTACCTCCATGCTCTGCAAAAGAAAAAGAGACTGTTTAGATTCTGCAGGTTTCAATCAACATCATTAAAAAAATAAAGACTCCAAGAAAAAAGTAACAATGAATTATGCTTCCATTAGCAGAATGGATATTATTGGTGGATCAAATTTACCCCCACTGCTTACAACACTTAACACAGACATAAAATCTGTAGGCCCTCCAATCTTCCAGAGCAAGGGGCATAAAAGATAGTAGGGGCAGTATATTGGATTTAATTCCAAACCTATTATGTTATATTCTTGGCACATTGGCCTGGAAAAATGTACACATCAACATTTATGGTAACCTCCTCATCCACTTAAATGGACAGAAAACTCAGATAGGGAGTTCACTGTAAACAAATCAGAAATTAAATACCATGTTCTTAAATAATCTTATTACTTACTGCCCCATAATCATCAAGAAAGCATCTAGGAAGACCTAGCTATTGTTTTCCTTCCAGGTATTTTCTACATATAAACGCATATCCTACCCAATTCTCCCCTCTAGCCACAGAGCTTTTGGCAAAATAGAAAAGCAGGAGGAGGGAGGAGAATTAACTGTTATATAAGTAAAACACTGCTACAAGAAGGGATTCCTGAGCAGAAGGTAAACATCTAGCACAGACATGTCAAACACAAGGCCCGTGGGCCGGAAGCGGCCCGCAAAGTGGTTTCATGTAGCCCACGAAGCCATCCTGGAAACAGTAAGGGAACGGCTCCCGCTGCCGTGGCCCTGGCCAGCTAGGAGCCAATGTACAATTTTCTGGTGGCCATCTATGCTGAAACGCATTCAGTCTTAGGTCCACAAGGCCGTCTGAAAACAGCAAGGAACCAGGCCCTGCCACGTTGGCTTTGCCACCTGGGTGCATGCTGGGGAGGTGTCACCCTTTGTGAGAAACGAAGAAATGCACCATCGCCTGGAAGTGGCCAGCAAATGGCCCTCACCTACTTCACATATCTGGCTTGATGGGCTCCAGAGGAGGGGTTTCAGCAGGCAGCGAGGTGCTCTCCTCACAACGCCAAGAGGCTGAGCCAGGCGATGCAAATCCAAAAAGAAGCGAGACGCCACCCAGCCCCCAGCCTGCCCGGTTTCGGCAGACAGCGGGGCACTCTCCTCACAGCCCCGAGTGGCTGAGATGGGCAGCTGGGCAGCGCGAATCTGATGAGAAGTGCAATGTTGCCTAGCCCCCAGCCTGCCCGGTTTCGGCAGACAGCGGGGCACTCTCCTCACAGCCCCGAGTGGCTGAGATGGGCAGCTGGGTGGCGCGAATCTGATGAGAAGTGCAATGTTGCCTAGCCCCCAGCCTGCCCAGTTTCGGCAGGCAGCAAGGTGCAAAGCTGACGAGCTTCACACTGCCGGCTCAACCTCTCGGCGCTGTGAGGAGAGCACCCCGCTGCCTGCCGAAACTGGGCAGCCTGGGGGCCGGGCGGCATCGCTTCTTTTTGGATTTGCGCTGCCTGGTTCAGCCTCTTGGCGCTGTGAGAAAAGCGCCCCGCTGCCTGCCGAGACCGGGCAGGCTGGGGGCTGGGCGGCATTGCGCAGATAACGTTGACTCTCACACTGCTCATGGCATCCCCTCCTCCAGAGCCCACCAAGCCAAATATGTGAAGTAGGTGAGGGCCATGTGCTGGCCCCTTCCAGCTGATGGTGCATTTCTTCATTCCTCACGAAGGGTGACACCTCCCCAGCTGCGTTTCTTGCCTGTTTTTCTCCCTCCCTCACCTCAAATATTTTCCCACCACTCTGTACTTAGGAAGGAAGGAAAGAAGGAAAGGAGAGGGAGGGTCTGAGGGAAGTCCTGCCTTAGTCCTGCCCTGCTGCCCTTTCACCATCCCCTTGCCCCCTCCTCCTGGCTTATCCTGGGGGGTCTCCCATCCTATTGCTAAGGAAGCTTTGGATACAAAGCTGGGTCTCCTCCCATGGAGAGGGAATGGGCCTCCCTCTGACTTTGCCCTCGTACCCATCATGAGCAACCTGGCTAAGGAGAGCAAACACAGCAACAGCAGCCTTGAGGAGGAGGTAAGTGCAGCTGGGTGCCCCCTTGGGGAAGTGGGGCTGGGCTTGGTGCGCGAGGGCCAGGCTGGGTGTTTGACCTCTGCTGCCCAGGGCTCTGGGCAGCCCGCACCACCATCCAGGCCCCCCCTACATGGCCTGAGAGGAACAGTGAGGCTCCTCCAGTGGACCATGCCTTGGCACTTGCCCTGGTCCCACCCCCTTCTACCAGAGACTCTCAGATCTGTCCCACTCCTGCCCAGGCCCCCACAGGCACTCTTGACGCGAACGATGTAGAGCTGGCCATGCCCACCCAGTAGGCCACACCCACTCCATCCATGCCCACCCAGTAGGCTGCACTCACCCTGGCCATACCTACCTGGCCCCCCGAGGGAAACCACAATGCTGATGCGGCCCTCAATGAAATTGAGTTTGACACCCCTGAATTCTAGCACAATATTACAGATCATCCTGCTGCCAGACCAGTAGCTATTTGATTTAAACATATTAGTATGTTCTAGAAATGAAAGTGAAGTGAGATTTTAAGTGAAATTCCAGGGACAGAGACCATCTATTACTGGTAGTATTTTTTTTTAAACCCTGGCAAGAACAAACAATATATGATATAATTCAAGTACAGACATGCTGTATGGTTGTGCATATGAAGGATTTGTTTTTAGGTTGTATTGAAGTATTAGAATCCTGATGATTGTTTGGATTTCTCCTCTGGTAAGTGGTTTGGAAGGGTCTCTATTTTACTATCTTGCTGGCAATCGCTTAGTGCCACACATTTTTCTCATTTTGATGAATACATTCAACAAGATGGTTTTAAGAAAGTTACAATTCTACAGAATTTTGCTTTTATCCTTTGTGATGAGTGTTCCATTCTATGCTCCTACCAAATGCTATAGGAAAAAAGTCCTAGCACAGTGGTTCTCAACCTTTTTAATGCTGCGACCCCAATCGGTCGTAAGTCGAGGACTAAACCGGTCGTAAGTCGAGGACTAAACCGGTCGTAAGTCGAGGACTACCCAACCGGTCGTAAGTTGAGGACTTTCCCTGCCCGGGAGCGCCGCGCATGCGTGGTTCCGCCCCCTGCACTGGCCGAGGCGTAGCTGGCAAGCGGCAGAGACAGAGCAGGCCAAACACCAGCTGGCCCAGCCCAAGGAAGGTAAGGCACCCGCCGGAAAAGGAAAAAAAAAATGGCGGACAAAAAAATGGCGGACAAAAAAAATGGCGGACAGTCTTGCTTGGCGACCCCTGTGAAATGGTTGATCGACCCCAAATGGGGTCTCGACCCACAGGTTGAGAACCACTGTCCTAGCAGGAGTAAAGAAAGTGCTCTGCACTACAGATACTACAAAGAAAATAAAATGTTCTGTTTTACATTTGACTGAAGCCTTGCATAACAACAGCAATTCAATAGCAATATCGTTAATTAAATTCTCTGATCCAAACTGAAGGCTGGAACTATGTGTATGGGAAGACTCAACTTTCTTCCACTTCTAGGACTATACCTATAGATTGTGGGAAACTGATGCAAGCAGGCAAAGAGCAATGCTAAATCTAGCAAGCATGGGAGATTATCCTACATATATTGTCCTGGAAAAACCAAAACATGAAGCAATTGCGTTCCTTACCTGTGTTTCCATGATAGACATGAGGTCCTGCCACTGCTGCTCCAGATCAAAGGGCAGCTCTGTTTCTGTCAGAAGGGGAGAGAGGAGACTGTCTGACACGACAGAAGGCCCACTCTCATTAGGCAGAGAGTCAGTTAGGCTGGGAACATCTGCAGCTGGAAACTAAAACAAAACAGCAAAGTGAATGAATTACGTTTTAGGTGATATTAAAACAGTAATAAACCATTCTTCTTTCCTTTCAATTTATGAACTTTAGAGATTCTTTTGCCACATGCTAGAGCAGTCCAGCCTCTTTCCCAAGATTTATTATTTACTTAAATATATTTGACACATTTTTAAAGACATGAATAAATAATAGTAGCTCAAGATATTGTACATTATATTCCTTCATAGAAATCTTGTGAATAGGTTGGAATAAAGGATAAAGTTTGGCAAAGAACTCTTAGAGAACCACATGGAGGAGTGGGAATAAGTGAGATTCAGTCTGTATGCTATTAACCTTTCTAAGTCTACACTAGAATAAGACCAAGTAAAGAGGGGGAGGGAAAGGGGGTTCATTTTGCAAGGCATGCAATGCCATCATTTTAAAACAGACAAGGCACTTGATTTAGTGGGTGAGCAAATTCCTGCATTATTCAGGAGATTCTGTTCTTCTCAAAGGATAGCATACTTGCCTATTTCACAAGGTTGCTGCAAGGACATGAAATGGAAACTCAGTTTATTGCTAAACTGAAATGATGACTGGAACTGACAAAGAGTGAACACTAAGCTAACTTTCTCCAACCTGATGCCCTCCAGATGTGTTGGACCCCAGCTACCACAATTCAACTTACCATTGCTGCTGATTGAAAATTACTGGAGTTGCAGTTTGATATATCTAGAAGGCACAGCATTGCGGTAGGCAACCAAACTGATCAGCTCTACTTCCAAAGTGAAAATATGTACCTCTGAATTTTCTCCAAAAGGAAATGTAGCCTCCAGCAATCTAAGACACTCCTCCAAGGACAAGGTTGTCTGATCCTCCACCCCAGGCGCCTAGGAAAAAAAACACAAGGCCAGACAATGAAGATAATCTATTCCTGTGGTTTTCTAATGTTCAATATTTATGTTCTTTTTCTTTACTTCTTTTTTTCCTGACCCTTAATATGAAACATATAAACTGAACCAGGGACAGAATGGCCAATGTTTGGTACACAGGATCTGCTTTTTAATCTTTTTTTTTTTTTTGCTATCAGGAGTAGGATGATAATTTCAAGTTAATAGAAAAAGGATTTTCTGCAGCTTTTTGCTTTCAGGGAATTGCAAGGGTGATGGCAAACATGGTTTAACTGTCATTATGCCTCTTTTAGAATTTATAGCTTAAAATGTCAGTGAATTATACAATCATTTTTAGTTATTCATTTACATATCAAATATGGAGACCACTCATCTCACACACAAAGTGCAATTTTAGTCAAAATATACTCTGGAGAACAGGGGGGAAAAATCATGTGTGACCATCTGCAAACCTATGGCTTAAGATGTTCCACCCGAGTCAAAAATAGAATCATCTGCTCAAAATCTGATATATTTGATCCAAAGCAATTTTTTAAAATTAATTTAGAATTAATTTAAAATTAATTATTCTCAACAAAAAGTAAATATTTAATTAATCCAAAGGGCAGCATTTCAAGGGCCTGTCCAATTTGTATACATACGTAATATATATCTCATAACCTATCCCAATAAAAAACAGAAGCAGCAAACAAACTGTATGAAAACTTAAGTGCTACAATTAAGATATAACTTTCATTTACAGGTAGTTCTTAACCTACAACCACAATTGAGCCCAAAATTTATGTTGCTAAGTGAGACATTTGTTAAGTGAGTTTTGCCCCATTTTACGACTTTTCTTCCCACAATTGTTAAATGAATCACTGCAGTTCTTAAATTAGTAACACTGTTGTTAAGTGAATCTGGCTTCCCCACTGATTTTGTTTGTCAGAAGGTCACAAAAGGGAATCACATGACCCCAGGACACCGCAACTTTCATAAATATGAACCAGTTGTTAAGTATCTGAGTAAACCACATGACCCTGGGGAGATGCTGCAATGGTCATAACCATGAAAAATGGTCATAAATCACTTTTTTCAGTGCCGTTGTAACTTCGAACAGTCACTGAATGAACAGTTGTAAGACGAGGACTACCTGTACTTCTTGTCAGATGAAATCTACAAAAAGTACAGGTGAAGATTGTTCTGAATGCCTGCTTCCCAAAGAACAGTGCAGCTGAGCCCTTAAGTATCCATGAACCAGAGCCTATTCTGCCCTCTTGAGGACTATTCTCTGCCCTGCATATGAATTCTAACCGGAAGATATTGGAAAAACTGAACTTGACAGTCAGCAGACTGGCTATACAGATCACAAGAATTTGGGCAACAAACTCTATGTACCCTCTATTCTCATCCACCAAAGTCCAACTAATAAGGTGCAAATTTCTATATATCTTTCTAGCTTATTCCAAAAGCTCAGTCCACTTTAATATGTAAGCATATAAAAACATATAAAGAATTTTACATATCGAGAAAATATAAAAACAGTACCCAAAAGAAAAATATGGGAGATAGTCTACTTCTCAGAAAATGAACTGAACTACAGGTTGCAATCTTCTTTACTGGACAGGTATGGAGTACAACCTCAGAATGGTAGGAAAGCAATCTGTGCTTCCCCATCAGGGTGTTTTTACCTGCGCAGGGAAACTCTCCCCTGTCTCGCCATCCACTACCTCAGTTCTGTCAGCGATGCTGCTGTCCCCTCTGTTCCTCCAGCCATCCCCACATTCTTCACTGTTACTTGGTTCTTTATCCACGTCGTTTTCTTTTTGGCGGTGGCTGTAGTCAAAAATCTCACGCCCAGCACCAAGGTCAATATCCTGTCTCCACAGGATATCAATTAAATCAATATCCTAAAAGGAAAAAAAAAAACAGGGAGAAAGAAACATGACTGCCTCTCTTCGTCAAAAAGACTTATTCAGGAGGATGACCTCTCCTACAAAACTTCCAGCACAAATGCCTCCAGCTTCTTTACCCAAAACACTACCATAATTTCATCCATTCTGTGATATAGGCCCAACACCAACATTTGACCCCACTCACCTCTAAGTGCCGCCCTTCATTCTGAATGGGGTGTGGTCCCTCCTCCCCTGATCCTTCCCTTGACCATCTCTGCTGCCGTGGTGCTCCAGACATCTTTCCCCCCCCTACAGCCATCCTGCACAGGGAGCTTGCCAAGAGTGGCTCTGCAAAGGAGCTGCTCCGGGCCCCAAACAAGGGACTCCATGGACAGCAACTGAGCTGTCTCCTCCTCCCTGCCCATGCTACGCAGCAATGTTCTCTCTGTCCAGGCAGGAGTCTGCAGCTTTAACTGCTCAGACGGCTGGCTGGGTTAGAGAGGGAGGGCCAATTGTCATTCCGGATTGCTGCTCCATAGCGGGTTTGCATCAGCCTGTGGTGCCATTCTGCCTATTTGCATAAAGGGGTGGAGATTCTCTGCATTTTCAGCCACCTGATGCAACTTGAAAAGCCGGCTTGCCATGCGTCCTATGTCTTGCCAGCTCCCTCAGCTGAGCTGCCTACCTTAACCAGTCCTTCAAACTGAAAACAATCTCTGCTGAATGCACTCTAAACAAATCTGCCTGTTTCAACCACAAAGCAGTGACCTGGCCTCCTCTATAACAGACTTTAAACAAGGTTTATCATACCCTAAAATTTTCTTTTTCATCCCATGCCCTACAATATCCTACAAATTCTTCAGCTACAGGACAAAGATCACCCAAAGCTATATTCATTCACATACTGCAGCAGGATGTTCCTTTCATTCAGGACCAGAAATGCCTTCCCATTCTTTGGAATGTTTTTTTAATATTGCAAACAAATCTGGCTGAATGATGCTGAAGGATCAGCACTTGGGGCTCCACCCTTCTACATTTCCATTTCCAATGGAAACCACATCAAATTATCATTATTCCTATATAATACATAAGTGGCAAAGAAGTCTTGAATTAGGGATGCCAAGTATACTCATTTTAACTAATTTCTCCTTGCTCCAGACAGGAACATAACAGACTAAATCTCCCTTCATTTCAGAACATTGGGGAATATAAAATGCAGCAATGTTACAATCTTTCTGATTTGTCCACCCAATTTCAAAGCACCGATTGTTCCATCTATATAAGGAACAATAATTCAGAGTAAGCTTGTCTCTAATATCTCTATCTTAATTTAACTATTCTAGTATTAATTCAAATAATTGGTCCAGTATTTCAGAACTAATTTACAGACAGACTATTCTGCAACTGCTAGCTCCTCTGTCCTTCCTCAAACTGGCTGCCCTAGACCTTCAGCATCTTCAGCTTCAAAAGACCCAATTGTTTTTCCATGGCCTAACTGATCACAAACATGTATCTGGATCACATCTTCCTCCTCTCCCTATCTGGCATTCATTCAAATTAATTTTAATCATCCCCTCCCTAACTGCAAAATACAAGCTTTCTTCCATGGAACATTCAGTGCAAATAGAAGTTTTAGACAAAACACTATTTTCTTCTCCTTTAGCCCTCCTATCAACTATTTCTTCAAATTGAAGATTCTAATCCAAATGTATACTTTTTCTAGTTACTTCCAGACTATGAGTGTTTAGAAGTGATTGGGCGGTATAGGTGGAAAGACCCAATAATGCTTCATAAGGTACACCCTTTGCTCACCCCAACTTCCATTGTAAAGCAGGCCACATGGATCAAAGATATTCTTAATTTCAGACACTGCTATCTATTTTTCTCAACTGCCTGCTCCCTCTTACAAGTATTCTTATTTTGTAATTCTGTCCATCTCCCTCCACCTTTTGTGAAAATCACTGGTACAAAATACATAATCATCATAAATACATAATTTTCTTTCTATAATGAAAGCATCACTGAAAGATCCACATAAATTAAGAATTCAAGCCATGATTATACCTTTTCCTCCAATATGTATGATATTTTCCAATCTATCCCTCAGCCAATGTATGCTACATTCTTTCCTACTGCACATCTTTTTAGTACATTGTACCTGAGCTGTATCTGGCCTGAATCTATCATAAAAGCAAGCAGCAGACAGACATGAGGGGTGAGAAAAGAGTCAAAAAGAAAGGATACCTTTCTCATGTCCCCAGCTGCCGCTCCCAGAGCTGTCCACCCAGATCATGGTCTATGTAGAGCGTAGATTCCGGGCAGGCAGAGCTGGGTGACCCGAGCTGAGTGCCGGACAGACATCTCCAGTTTCAGTTAACAGTTGCTCTTTTTTTGGCAGGCTTGCTAGCTGCCCCCAAATTGTTTGAAAGCCCCCCTCCTTCCCAGCATGTGACCCACAGGTGCTGTGCTATAGCCAGTCCTCCTCCCTCCCCTCACTCCAGCATGAGATCCAATCCTCAGCTCTCTTCTGCTTGTCGCTTAAAGAGAGGAGTTCCATCAAATCCCCACCCCCTGCTCAATGCCCAAGCTGCAGAGATGGAATCCCCACCCCATGTGTTGTGCTGTGGCTGCAGTGAGACTGAGACAACACCCCCACACACACCCGTTACCTAGGCTGCAGCCGAAGGCAGTCCCCTCCCCCAGGTCACCGCGGAGGATGCAGAGGGAGCCAGGCTCCGCCCTGTGCTGGTTACCTAGGTTGCAGAAAGAACCAATCCCTTGCCTCTGGTCCCTGCTGAGGATGCAGGAGAAAGTGCTCCTCCTTGCATTCGTCACCTAGGACGCAAAACACACAGCCAATTGCTTTTTAAGCTTCCACCCCACCCAGGCTGCCCTGGGAGCTGCAGCAGCATTCAGGTCTCTCTCTCCTTGAAAAGCTCCCATGCTTGGATGCCCCACCCAATGGTTGCAATGATGGTTGCAATGGTGCAGGGGGAACAACATTAAGGAAGCCTTTCGAGATAGTACTGAATATTTTCTCCTCTTTTCTCTCCATCGGAGATTACCCAAAGTTCTCCCTTTCTCATCAATTGAGATTTCATTCACTCTCCAAAAGAAGCAGAAAAGTGGCAGGCAACAAAGTAGAGTGTTTTATACAGGTAAGAGATGAAAATCATCTTACAAGGAACTTTTTGACCCTATAAATCAGGATTAGAGTCTCTTTTCCCCCAAATCCCCCCAATCAATAATTACCCTAGAATTTTAGTTTTTGATTTTCAGCTTTCAGAAAACTGACATAAAATAATGGAATAAGAACTGCAATTTCTCTCTTTACTCAAGTAATTTTCTTCCAATTCCACTAATAATGAATGAGATGTCACTGGAATACAGGTGGAAAAGTCACCAGATACAAGAAATGAATACTAGAACACCATACATTAAATGAAATTCTGCATCAAAATTAAACATAATTATATATAAACCTGCTTATGGTTGGAGTTTTTTGGTCCATTTTATTTTCTTATTTTTAGGAAAAGAAAGAAAATGTAGAGCAAAAGCTTTCCACCATTGAAAATTCAGTTAATAAATTCCATTCGCTCACAAGTTTTATTATGATTGCACCACATTTACAACACTTGCTTTGCAGACTTGAAGGAGAGGCTTCATTTGGTTCAGCATAGGAGTCTTAGCAGAAATTAATGCTATATTATGCTATATTGCTAGGATATTATATTCTAAGAGTAATGCATTTTCCCCAGCTTAAGGTGTTCTTGCGCAATAAACAGAGCCCTAAGTAAGAACATTTTCCAATATGGCTGAATATCTGTAAATCCAATAGTGCAGCAATTTTTGTTTTTGTGTTGGCCCAGGTTAGGCCACTAGAGAAGGGCAACTAGATAATTAGGATATCTTCTAGCTCATAAACAAAAAACAAGAACTGTGTGGTGGGCTGAGAATAAGAAAGCCTCTTCTTTGACAAAAAGAGCTTTTGAAAGCCACAATCATATCAGCTATTGATGATATGATCTCTGCTTTCAAAGAGCTCTTAGTAAAGAGGAAGATGCTGACATAATATATCTTCAGCCTATTTAATTTCATAATTGGTTGTTTTCATTTATATCTTTTTCCATAGTTACCTATCTGAATATCATTTTTGAGTGTCTGTCCTTTATACTTTAGTAACACATAAACAACAGGCTATGTTAGTAAATAAAAAATAATTAGTCTTTAAGAAGTATTTTTTCTGTATGAAAAAAATATATTTTCAATTCAAGTTTTATTCTGGGCATTACTTTTTAAAATATTGTTTCAAGAAACTTTCCAGGACTCTTGGACCTATATTCAATACAGCCTGCCTGCATCCAGGACAAGTCATACGCCTTCCAAAAGCAATGGAATAGCAGAAAGTATTTATAACCTACTCCTATTTCTTAGGGAAATCTTATTTAAATGATCAGAGAAAGATTAATGTTACCATAGGAAAAAGTACATTTAACAGAATAGTAGGAAAAATAAAAGCAAAAAAACAAACTCTCCCAAACTGAAACTGAGTTTTTTAGAATTAGTTCAACATTTAACTAGTATCTCACATTTTATTCTGACAGCTTGCCAAAATCTTACTTCAGCATTTGGCTGCTTCAGAGTTCAAACTTACAATCCTCTTTTCAAGCAGATGCAACAGACGGTAATAATAAAATATTTCTGCAATTTAGCCTCATGTTATTGTACAACTCATGACTTTCCAGTGAAGAAAAAGTAATTACACTTTTTAAAAAAATGTGTCACAGTATCATACTCCTGGAAATATGGCACCATTTTTGTAAAAATTACGTTCTTGGTTAACAATCCTAATTGGGAGTTGACTTTTCATCACTAAGCAAAGCAACTGTTAGGCGAAACATCATATACATTAGCAACAGCAGTTCCAGCAGTCCTGGTTACAGTTGTTAGATCTGGACTGCGCTGTTGTTAGACAAAGACATCAAATTTCTGACCTATTCACCATGCTCGCCTCT